TGTCGTAGCGCGAACGATAACTTTTAACGATTATACACAATGTTTGAAAGAGGAGATTGAAATTACTCGCCAACAATCATGCATTAGATCAAAATTGCACGAAGTGTACCCAGTGTCCGAAACGAAAATCGCTCTGAGTCCGTATGATGACAAGCAATATATCATACCAGAATCAATCGATACGTTACCATGGGGACATTATCGTATACCGCTGTAAAAAAAATGTATATATTACAAGTGTGCCCGGTTAAGTAAAACATGTATTAGGTTAGGATATATGTCGAATGCGATAATAAAATATATTTTTATATAAAAATAGAACTTAGTTCGATAGCAATCGGCGATTGGTATTGTCAATAAAGGTTCAAATTACAAAAAAATTGTTTATTGATTATTTTAATACAATAACATGCATTTTACAATACATTATCCTTGTTTATCCATGAGTTGTATGAATTGCTAAATCCCAACCATTTCATGTAAACCTTGTCATCTTCTCTGCGTAATACTTTTTCCACCAGGTATACATCAGGATTATTAACACGATGCAGTTCATGTTCGTAGAATCCTTCAGCGACAGGCTGTTCGCGAAAATCTTCGAGCAGATAAGTTATAGGGTTAGTTGTCTGTACTTTGGCAATAGTAAATATTTCGGTTGTACAGTTCGGTGTGTAACCCTTTTCGAAGACCGTCTTGAATTTGCTAATACGTACATGATCGCCCACTTTGAATTTAGCAGGCGCTGCAATTTTTACGTTGCTGTACACTGTATTCAGGAGCTTATCGGCGATCGCGGGGGTAACATCGATAGGACGTATTCCGATGGTTCGATGTTTACATCCATTACTGCGTTACGAGATTCGGCAGCGCATCGATCCATTTATAGGTTCCGTTGAATGTAAACATTTTCCACATATTATTTTTTAACGTACGATTGAATCGTTCCACAACGGAGGCCTTCATTACTGAGTACGTCGAATAATGATTGATGTTGTGTTTCTTTATTAGTTTCTGAACATCTGCGTTGTAAAATTCCTTGCCTTGATCGGTTTGCAAATTTTTCGGACATCTGTCTCGAATTATCTTGGTGAACACTTCAGCTACTTCTTTTCCGCTCTTACTCTTCAGCGGCACAGCCCATGCGTATTTGCTCAGCACATCAATAACCGTAAGTATATAGTGATGGCCTTTATTAAATCGCGCATAAGAACGCATCTCTACCACATCGGCTTGCCACAGATCATCGTATCCGCGTACAATGACGCGCCTACGAGGAAAATTTTTTCTCGCCGAAGCATGCAGTTCGTCCACGAGTCGCTGCTTTTCGTTTTTCCGTTTGTTAATCTTTGATGATTCCTTCACCATTATGGAATGACTTTTCTCGTGCTTATGTCTATGTGTATACTGATTTAACTGTAATATTCCATTATTTATTTATCTTTTTTCATAGATTTACTTTCTTCTACTTTCGCATCAGTATTTTTTGTCTTAGATTTACTTTCTTCTACTTTCGTATCAGTATTTTTTTCTTCTGTCATATTAAAGGGTTATAACACCTTTGAGGGTCAAAAAATTCAGATTTTTTTTTTTTTGCTTAAATGATACTTTGGAATGTCTAGAATATAATTTTATTCGCCTAAAGTCGATCTGGAACTCTTTCATGTACGAAATAACCATTTTTGTACGCGGCGCCA